GGTTCACTAAGTTGGTATTCTGGTGAAGTGATCCTATCATACATCCTGGATTATCGCTTCTGCCACAGAATACGCACCCCTTACTATGAGGAGGAAGACTGCCTGAGCGCTTTTTCGTTCGTGGAGTCTGGATTTGTGCATAGTTAATTGCACTGGCAACAGGCTTGTTGACATATTGGTCATCTAACTCCGCTGTCGATTGAATTGATATATTGAGGCGAAATTGTGATGATTGACCTTACGTGACTAAGTGGGGTAGCCTTTTCCTACTAACCTTTTACTATGGGAGCATATTAGGAATTCACTATATAGTTTCACTCCCCTCCGGCCCGGTGGTGAGTCAAGGCAGTTGTTCTAGAGGAGTGGCAGTCTGGGCCATCTACCAGAATGACCCTGGCAACAAAAGAGATCTACGACTATGGTGGATTGAAAAGCTGTTCAAGGTCAGCAAGAAAGGAATTTCTGTCTGTGGAACCGGTGACGTATTCTTGAACTTTGGGTGGAGGACCTTGCTATTTATACTGCTCCTGCGCCCATATAGTTTCACCTTTATAAAAGCCCAATTTGCCCGGTCACCCATTAGAAATATTTACCTCTTCATGATATATCACTGGGTTATTTATAAGATTATTAAGCTAAGTTTACATACTGTGCGGAGGGGGCACCGTGCGATATAGTACTGTGAATAACCAAAAACTTGCCGGATACCGGGTGGTGGGCACAGCGCAAATAACACTTTAGGTCTCGATGGGGATGTAAGAGGGGGGGGGTCTATGCGCGAGATTAAAAATAGAAAAAGAAAAAAACAGCAACGCAATTTGGGGTCTGGAATATATGCTGCTAACCCCCGGAATTGCGGAACTGCGGACTAGAATGTCGTGGACGCTACTTGTCTATTCAACAGCATCTTCTTTAACACGGCAATTCATATGCTATCAATGCCTCATCTTTAAGTCCTCTGTCCAAGTATTCTCCCAATTTGTGCAGGTTGGTTACCTAAGGCCCACTTGTTATGGGGGAATTTAATCAATTAAGACTTTCGGCGAAGTAAGGTCCTATGGAAAAATACATACTTCCTCGGCGTCAAATTTTATGCACAAGAGAGCGTTTTCCGGTATTGTGCCTTCGGGCTAGAGTTGGGGTTGCGGTTTCGTGGTGTCGATCGGGTAATGTACCATCCTACTTGAATATGGTGCTAGATCAGCGTCAAGGGCGGACCTGACTGCTACCGCGTGTCTTGGGAGGAGCGGTGGGTTCAGGGCAAAGAAGGCTCTTACAAGTGTGTGGGCAGCATGAGGAAATGTTATGGAGTGTTATGAGGCAGTCTCTTGAGGTTGTGAGCACGTATGTTCGATAGACATCCGGGTCGAGTTTAAGGCAGTCCCCATGGTTTTGCTTGCACGGCGTTGTTTGTGAACAGTGAGCGGTGTGAGTAGATTTTTAGTGGAGGATGAGGATAGTGCCATATCTGCAGCCTTGCACTAACAAGGTATCATGGATCATCCACTTGTTTCATATTCTGGTGTTTTTTAGGAGAGCTATGGTTCTTGCGAGTATCGGATTGGTGTCGGGATACCGTACTGGCGCTGGGAAAGGTCTGGCAAAGAGGTGTTTTTCTTTGGTGGAGGGTGTGGTTGTCTAAGGGGGGGGTTGTGCCATCGGGATTTGTGTGGTACTAGGGGAGGGTTCCATGGACGCAAAGGGCTCTGTTTCTTGAAGAATATTGCAGCTCGGCTCCATGAACTGCTGTTAAATTGTAATTGTGAGGTAATTGGGATCATTGGGACTGGAGTCGGCCGCTAAAGATTTCTCTGGGGAAGGACCCTAGATCAGATACTGTGCTGCAATATCGTCTGGGACGAAAGTGATGGAGGAAGACAAATTTTACTGCCAGGATCATGGCCTGGTCAGCTAACGATGTGATCCCCCCTGAGCCGCGGATCCCAGGGGCCCGCTCTCGATTCTCCACGAAGACGGTACTTCCTCGAGACAAGAATAATAACCAACGTGCCTAGAGTGGGTGCGGGTGGAGGAGCGACAAGAACCCCGCACATAATTGAGACTTTAGTTACTTCTCTGCCCTTGAAATTCCACCTTTGCCCCTCTCTCCGGATACGTTCAAATCTGAAGTGTTTAATGAGAAAAAAAGAAAAGAATTTACCCGTGATCCTTTTTTGCCACCGGATCACCTTTTGAAGAGGTTATTAAGCCCGTAAGGCTTGGCACGGTTGTGGGGAGATGTTTCCTCTCTCGATCTAAATTTCTAGGAGGTACCTCCCTAATTCTCCGGCTAGTGAAATTCGGCCAGAAGTCATATCCATAGCTGCTGCATCTCGAATCTTCATATTTATCCACTTCTACACCACGTTTTACCGCTAATAGGAGCCGGGAAGGATAGCAGGTGTCTGGCGTGTAGGGTCGGTGGTGCTAATCCACTATATAGAGAGCAGAATCAGAAGATGGGGTACAGATGATTTCAAAAGGGGGAGTTGGCGGATATCGATATTGGGTGAGTATTGTTACGGTATCGTGGTTAATGGGGTCAATCAAACACCGGACGCTATGCTATGACCCCACGATAGACTCCATGTACTTAATTTCCTTTAACTCCTTACAGGTAAAAGTGAAAGGAAATCAAAGGGATTTCTTAGAGGGTCTCTGGGGGGTGGATTTCAATGATTTTTGATTTTTTGTGTTTTTTTACAGCCAAGCTCCGGATTGTTTGGTGTTTTGCTCCTTGCCTAAAAGGCTATCTTCGTGAAAAAACCTGGGTTAGAATGCCGAGAACCATAGAGCTTGGTCTGTGGGGTGAGCGAAGGTTAGATGATGTGACACCACTTCGTCTAGGTTCTCGTGTCTAACCGAGGTCAATAATTGGGGCAAAAATTACAAAAATGCTATTGAAGATAGTTGAAGCAGGGAGTTCTATCATACTTCAGGTTTTCCCTTCCCCATGACCCCAAGCGCCTGGATCCGCCTAACTTTCTTCAAGGGCGCCCGGATCTCCCGGTCTTCCCTAGCCGTAAAGAGTGCCAAAGTTTCCGGGTACTTTGCAATGCGCAAGTGCCCGAGTGCTCGGGCAGCCGAGTTGAGGGCGGATAGATCATTCAAGTAGCGAATAGCAGACCGATAATATGTGCGCACCCTACCAGGTTGTTAAAAAAGAATCATGGTGCAAGATCAGGCCTGGACGACTTGAGGACAGGTCCAGTGCCTGGGCCCGTTCAGTACTCGTAGCGTCGAAGGATTTTTTTCCGGAAACCGCGGTTGCATTGGGATGCTGTCAAGCGCATGTCTTCATGGTAGGGTGGCCATGCTTGGCGATCACAGGGTGTGGGTGACGGGTTTGCTCTGTGATCGGTTGTGCAATACTATGGCTCGAGTCCTGTATCGTGCTCATATGATATAAATACAAGTACGAGTATCTCGGCCGTTTTCTCCTCGAACTCTGGTTGGTCAAAATGATGTGTTCGCACAAGTAAACGAAATATGTAATTGAATAAGCGAAGCTGGGAAAATGTGTGTCGAGCTCTTGGCGCAGCAGTTGGAACAAACATCCTTCTCAGAGTAGTTGAGGAGGCTAGGGAGCCAATCAGCTAGAGGGGTTCTCCATACTTGCTCGGATACCAGCTGCTCGCGCGTCTTTGCCAAGGATAACCCTGGGTACCGAATTTTAGTGAGAAAATGGGAATAAAGAGCCAATTTACCACCCGAAATCGGTGCCCGGGCTTACCTCTTGCAAACACATGCTAGTACAGAATTGTGCGTGTAAGTATCATATTGTAATACTCGGGTTATTGGAAGGAACTACTCAGATACCATACTTGTGCATGTGTTTGGGATATTCTCCGTGACTGAGATACCCATTCGTTGGGAAGGTGTTAGAAGCACGGAACAACAAATTATTCACACACTATCACCGGTCTTTCACTTCCTTAAAAGACTCAAATATCCTAAAAAACCACGGAAAAGTTAAAAAGTAACTCGAAGCCTCTAGACACTGGACACTTCCCCTCCCTCCCACAATTTCCGAGGATGAGCCGAGTCCCAGGGTGTAGGCCTTACCCATTATTTTTTCCCCATTCCCTGTAAATCCATGGCCCGGAATAGAATCCGGTACATCGTATTTTAAAACTACACAAGTATAGAAAATCTTTATCGACCGTGGAATTTACCTTTACAAAGGATATCTTCAACTTTGCGCATTCATGTTAAAGTAATGAATACCACAACAAATGGGCTGGAGAGATGAAAGACAAATGTAGCGGTCGTCTGGATTTCTTAACCAAACATTTTCATGTGCACTCGATATAATGCTGCGGGATAAGTTAGTGTCTGAAGGGTTTCTTGCCAAGTCTGTGGTATTGGAAAGGCATTACCGCAGGTTCGCCTTGCTGACGCATTCCCAGAAAGGGCAATTATGTAGTGTAACACCTAGAACCCTTCTGATGGGCGGTTTACGTCCCGATGCTTATCATCAAGTATGCAACTCGCAGACCCTACCTCGTCTAGGAGTTCTCGAGTAGTTGCTCAGAAATCCTTGGCAGACACTCACCGCTGTTGACGAATAATAGCTCTAGCCAACCGTTTCCAATACTTTATGCAGGGCACAGACGCCCACTAGTCCACTCGTAGTTTTCTTGACATACTCGAGCACACACGCTCACCATAGGTGACGAAGAATACCCTCTTCCAGCCGAGTTTCCAATACTTTATGCAGGTCATCTCGTTCGTGGGAGCATCGGGGATGGCCTATTAGAACCGGTCGGCGGTGCGCCCCCCCAACTATTTCTGTCCCATGTGTTATGTGTATATAGGTGCTACGGGAGGGTCTTTTAGTTTCTCTCTCTCTAGGCTGGCGAGATAGTCGCCTTTTTTCGCACTAAACATAACTTCTCTCTGCCATCCTCTCACTAGCTACGGCCATTCTCGCCTTTTATTTTCTCCTTTTCAGTTAATCTTGAGTTGGTTCAGGTCTTAAGGAGCCTCAAATTCGACACATGACGGGCACTCAGTCGGATTTGGTAGTCTGGTATAAACTCGAGACCGAATTCTTTCAGGATCACGTCAGACACACGAAATATGTGGAGGAAGCGAAAAATAGGGAAAAACAAGTGAAGGAGGATTGGAGCAATTGTCGGGAGCTCGGCAAGGGAGGTTTCGGTGTCGTCCATAAGCAGATTCAGAAAACTACGGGCCACTATCGCGCGGTGAAGACGATTGATAAAACGGTATCTCGCGGGCTCGATTATTCCAGGGAGCTCCTTGTGATGGCCATATTGGCAAAGGTTTGCGTTCTCAATCCCAAGGGGCCTTACCCTGGTTTACCACCCCTAATGGGGTTTTCCTGCTGTGGTCTAATGGTCAGGTGTTATAGCGTCCATCATTATTTGTGGAGTTCCTGGGATGGTTCGAAGAACCCGAGACTCTCTATATTGCAATGGAATATCTTGAGGGAGGCGATCTCACCAAGAATATCGGCACACCACTGCCGGAAGAAACCGTCCGAACTATTTCAAAGCAGATCCTCGAGGGTCTCGAAGTGATGCATCAACAGGGGATGGCTCATCGGGATATAAAGCCTGAGGTATAATACTTCTCGGGAAAGATCTCGCTTGACAATATCTCCTCGGAATACTGACCACTGCATAGAATATCTTCGTAGTTTCTATGTCTCCGGTCTGGGTCAAACTGGGAGATTTCGGGATATCGAAGCGGATCCCGGCTGAAGCTACCACCACCTTTCACACCCAAGTGTCAACGCCGGTCTACAGCGCCCCCGAGGTTCTGGGGTTGGACACCAATAGTGAAAGCTCGGACTACACGAATTCTGTTGACATTTGGTCACTCGGATGTGTGATATATGAGCTATTTGTGGGGGAGAGGTTGTTCGCCTCAGAGGGTCAAGTATTGCGCTACTACTTGGGGAAATGGCGTATTCCCGAAGAAAAACTGAAAATGTTATCACCCCCGACAGGCGGTGTCGGAGCCCCATTACTAAAGTCTATGCTCTCACTACAACCAGAAGATCGCCCAACTGCGGGGGGTGCACTGCGCCATGCATGGTTCATTGGCCTTGAGAGCGGTGATAAAGATAGCGGATACGAGCGAGACCAAACGATGCAAAGCCGGGGTGGGGGTTCCCGGAGCAGGAAGAGCGAAAACACATTTGCTACAGATAGCGGATCGAACAAGAGAATGAGCGGAGGAATCTCAATTACGCTGGGCGATGCCAAGTCCACCACAGGCGATGCAGGCTTTCTGGTGAATCTGGGGTGGCAGAGGGGTAGCGGTCTTACTACCCCAAAACTGGGAATTGACACTTCTGCTATGGCACCAGGACATGTAACCTCCTCCTCTGAGAGCTCACTGATCCGGAGGGGGGCCCTAAGTCCAGGGTTGATGCCTCGGAATTATGGGGCGTTCCGTTCTGATGGCTCTAATGCACTGAGGATAAAACAGATGCGCAATCTCCCACAAGAGTGGCCCCAAAGTAACACTCCGAATCGGCGTTTATAATATAGATCGCATTGCTAACGAGAATTGCTTTGTTGAACCCTAGGCCTCCAACAAGCGATCCTCCAACGCCAGAACCAACGCCGGGGACAAATGGCCAGATGGAATATACGCCATAGAGCGAATTACCCGCCTCCACTCTTAGTGCGACCACAGCAAGAGCTGCCCTCCCACAAAACTACAGTACCCGGCAAGCTGGCTTCGGGTCAGGCGATTCGGGAACTCCAGAGGGCGAAGCATCGCCGAATTTCCCCCTTAATACCCGTGGTAGAGGTGAAGGCTCAAATCACGGTAGAGCCCCCGCCAGTGCGGCGAAAAACCCTAATTCCGGACCGGGTCTTGATACTGGCTGGAATACTCATTCTGGCTGGAATACTTGGCGGAAATTTGATGCTGACTAAAACTCCGACCGGAATCCTAATGCTGCCTGGGGCCCTAATCCTGGCAAGAATCCTAAGCAGAATCCAAGTGCTGAGTGGAGCCGCAACACCGGAGGGAATCCAAATCTCGGCCGCAACGCAAAGCTCCGGTGCTCGGGAACGGATCGGGTTAAGAGAACGGTACCGGCGACGGAAGGGAAGGGTTCATAGGAAACCGGGGAAATAGATCGCGTATCAAGGAGGGCAGAGTCAAGTGGTGTGAAAACATTGGGCTATTTCCCTGCTTAGTCACTGTTTTACTACCGCCGGATGCTCGGGCGCGGTGCCGGGTTTAGGCTTATGGCGCCACTAAGGGTAACTGTCTCGGTAGTGAGATTTTGGAATGTTGGTTGGGTTGCATGGCTTATGTTAAATTAATTTGTTGAACACGGGTTTCCTAGATTTTGGCTGAAGGAGCCATCTTTCTAAGTTTGGGTGCTGGAATTCAAAGGTTTACTAGATAGGAATACTTCCCAGAGGCCCTCTAGTCAATAGAGTTAACGGTGCCCATATTTATAGTTCTTTGATTCTGTGGTGGTGGTATTCCGGGTGAGCTATGAGCAACATGGTCAGAAATACTGGAGTGATTAGTTGTTGCAGCACCCTTTCAGGAAAGGAGGCAGCTTGGCGTTGTCGAATTAGGAAAGATGTCTGTATTTGGTTGCGCTCGGTTTCCCCGCCTGAGGTGTCCGAGTTTACGGGCAAGCTGTGGGTTGTCCGCTGGCCGGTAAACGTACGGACGCAGGTTTATTGGATATGAATCCCGAAAGTTCCACCGTGGAGGATGATTTGTTCACAGCTATGGTGGGATTCCTATGCGCCGTGGTCAATACAAATATGCCCTTTAAAGGGCTAGGGCAGCCGCCTTGGGAGGATCATTTGAAATTCCCGGTGTTGCTAGGGTAGCTTTCTTTATATACCGAAACATATATGAAGGAGTTGTGGTAATACGTAATAATTCCAATCGGTGAGTGGGGCTGTTATTTGGAGGGAGAGATTGCGGACTTACATATTTGTACAGTATTTCAAATTCCATTAATTTCGCGTAAGATGCAGGGCAAGCTAGGTCCATATACAAATCTTGGATTCTGATTTACTCTTCCCACAATATCCACGTACACCGAATCTCGGGATTGGGACAGGAAAAGCTCCAGAGAAGGGTTAATATTTTCCTGGTCCGGCATTGCTTAAACTCTTTGGGTGTGGTGGCTCTTGTCGGCAGAGATGTATCCTGGGCCGGTGCTGGAATACATTCTCGTGATCCGCACAGCGATTCGGGGATATTTTAGGGTGTTCGAGGCGTTTAGCCACCACTTGGAAAGCGTAGGATGGCTGGGTCCGCACAAAGGCCTAGCTGCACTGACCGCATGTTAACACTACTCACAATCATACTGCTGTACTCTACGACTGTCCTGTAACAAATATTGGAAATCACCGGTACTCCGCTAGTACTTGATAGCCTAGACCACATCTATTTATTACGGGTATGCCAGAAGCTTCCGGAGGCAGTCTTGTATTGATTTCCTATTTGTAAGGCTTATGAGCATTTGATTTGTATGGGGAACGGAATTTTCTGGAGGTTTTTTGGTATCCCTGTACAATATAAGATGTTTAGCTGGAGAGAGGTTTTGGAGCATGTGGTTGGAAGAAGGGATGAGATTGGTTGATTGAGGAGGGGTAAAGGGAAGTTAAGAGAAGTGCAGAGAAGCGCAGAGAAGGAGCCAGCGGTGGGGCTTGGAAGGTTATCTGCGATATAAAGAGGAGATAGGATTGCGTGAAAGGAAGAGGAGTGTGGCAGATAGCAACAACGACAAGTGGAATTCAGTAACGACAAGAAATCGAAGCATCTCTCGCATAAGACACAGAAAGCGAACAATTCCGTAAAATTTACAACAACAAAGACTGTTAATTTTATGGTCCGAGGCCTACCCAGGATTGGTAGGACAGGTTCAAAGGTCTATGGTTACCCGGGAAACTGTTTACGTTAACATTCTTGCAATTTGACATACAATACGCGTTCATGGAATCCACTAAAACTCTTCCTCCCACTTCAAGCGTACCGCTCCCACTGCTGCTTCTTTATCCTCTTTCTCGAGCTGAACCTCGAACAAAATTGCTTAACTATTTTTATTCCTTACCCATCTCTGCCCAGCCCGGGGGGTTATATCAAGTGCGGAGTTTCAGATAGTGTTCGCAACGGGGCATTTTGTCGTAGTGTTGTTCACGAGCCGGCTCGAGCCGAGTCCAGACCTGGACTCGAGCCGGCTCGGCTCGTGGCACCCCTGGACTCGAGGGCTCGAGCCCAGGTCGCACCTAGACTCGAGGACTCGAGCCAGGCTCGAGCCGCCAAGAGGCTTGAGTCTAGAGTGGCCACGATACCTCTACATACTGCCACAATCATTCAAATCAACCAACAATTGTATATAGCAACTTGAAAACAAATACAACTAGCCAAATAACCTTCCCACTATCCCCGAGTCCAATTCCTGGGGAAGTTCACCATCTCCTTCTGTGTCTGCCTCATAGTTCCCATCTTCCCCACGGGTTTCCTCTACCTCTTCCCATGTTTCCACCTCCGGTAGCCCAAGCCAGGCCTTGGTTAGCATAAGCAATCAGATAGTCCTACCTACCATGCAATTGCACTTTTTTGTACTGCATTGGTAGTGGTAGGAGGCGGGGGGTGGTAGGCGGAGGTGGTGGTATATGAGACATGGAGTTGCGGCGGTAGGAGGTTTCGATGGTTTGACGGATAAGCGGCAGCAGCGCCAAGAGACTCGAGTCGGCTCGTGGACCCCTGTTCGAGCCGGCTCGAGCCGCCAAGAGACTCGAGCAGGCTCGAGCCTAGTGACCACCTAGGCTCGAGTCCGCTCGGCTCGTGCACAACACTATTTTGTCGTCCCGTCGGGTCTTTTCCTGAACTTGCCCGACGCATAAGAGTAAAGGACCATTGACCGACAGCTCCCTGCCGTCACCCACAGTCACCCACCGTCCCCTGCCGTCCCTTAAACCTCCAGCCGTTCCCGGTAGTCCCCTGCCGTCCCCCGCCATCCCCTACGATCCCCGGTGGTCCGATGCCGTCACCTGCCGTCCCCTACCAGAAGTTGTCTCGGATCGTGGGGCTCACTGTCCTCCCTCATGACGGCCGCCCCAGGAGCTCCAGGACGAGGACGGACTATATTTTGCTGTCCCGTCCCGGGCTCTCGGCAGCCCCTCCGTCGGGCCCTACAGGGGCCCCGGTCGGTTGAGAGCGCTGGTTTCCGAGGACACTGAATAGTGCAAGGTACATTGTGGGAATACCAAGGCAGCCCCTGGAGAACCCGGCGTGGCTACTCAAGAGCGGTCTAACGAGAATATTCTTCTAGAAGCAGGAAATACGATGTCGAAAAACAGGAACGGAACGCAAGGAAATAGACGAGCAGGAAGAGGCCACAACAACGAACCTGGCATACCCGCACCACCTGCACACATAAACAAAGCAATACCCCCGCTGCAGCGCTCAGTGGGTCAGAATGGGGATCAGATCCTACCAGCTGGGCAAAATCCTTTGCCGCAACGGGCCACCTATCACAATGTTAATGACTTTACCCACAAACAAGTCATATCATGGCTCGAAGGGAAGGGGTTTTTTGACAAATATGGGGCCCAGCATGGAACCATCGTCGCCTTGCTATTTGATCATTGGAAACCAGAAGGTTTCGAGGTAATACAACATGGCTACGACATTGATTGGTGCCTATGGTTCTTAACCTTGCCGGTTGCTACTGACCTCTCTTCTATAGTGGTCAACCTTTATTGCATGGCTAATATGCCTGACCCCTGTTTCGTTAACCAAATGTTGTACTTGAGAGTTTCTAGACATCCCGGTTCCTGGCTGCTAAGTAAGGGGGAGGATGTTTCGGCTCAACTATGAAGAAGTTGTGGCAGCATTGCAGAACGAGGTTTGCCTTTTTCCTTACTACCTTAGTACATGTACTGATTGGAACTTAATTTCTTAGAACAAACCTAGGTGGGATGATAGTTTGAAAAAATTACTGAAAAACTCATGGGCTTATGGGCTGCTTCTTGCGTTTATGCTGAGCATGAGCGTATTGGCGATACCCGAAGTTGAGTTGCTAGAGGTAAAGGAGTTCCTGTGTCCCTTCGTCA